CTACTGTATTTCTCTCTCTCTCTCTCTTCTATCCCTTTACCTACCTACCTACCTACCTACCTACCTACCTACCTACCTACCTCCTCTCTCTCTCTCTCTCTCTACCTACCTACCTACTGTATTTCTCTTTCTTTCCCTCCCTCTCTATCCCTCTATCTACCTACCTACTTTTTAAAAAAAAATGCCTCTTCAAAACCTTGGTGTGTCTTATACTCCGAAAAATATGGGTAATTCAAAATATTTAGAGGGTACTAGGTACTGTATTGTTCTCACATGTGTTACACCATAATCTTTAGAGCAACCAAATAAGGTGCAATATGATTTTCGATAGCAGTATGCCTGAGAAGAGCATAACTGAATAAACAGAGTTGTGGCTAATATGTGATTTCATTGTTAGTTCTCTGTAAGCATTTTTATCCTCCCTAACGCTTATACCAATTTGCTGTTCTCATATGGATCACACTAGTTCTCCTTTGTATTCAATTTGAGGAATTTACCTTTTTTGGGATAAAACTATTCTACTCTGTAGTACTAAATACCACTTTGTGTTGAAGGAGTGAATGGAAGAGAACAATGTGAACAATGCAGTCAGAACCATTTTGAATCTATCATTTGAATAGATAGAATTGTATTGACAAATACAATTCTATCTCTGGATTGACAAATTGTATGTTACTTGTGACTAAAGTTTCATGATATGAGCTACTCCAGCCTTGACTTTTTGTCCTCCTTCTGATAAATGGTTGTATTGTTTGGACTTTATCACTGATAAGTTTGAAGCAGCAATAAATGCACTTAAGGAATCACTTTGATATATCTATTTGACTTGGAGGAAATCTCTATTTAAATATAAACCATTGTGTAAACTTCACAATAATTCTTTCTATTTTGGTCTAGAAATGTGAGGATGAAATCTGATAAATTTTCTTTAAGAAATGAGTAACAGTGCCCATTTTCCCAAGATATTTCTTAGTGATATAGAGGTAATATATTTCCTGTTTTATTTTATTTTTTAAAACAGGAAGGTATGGGAACCTGTGAAGTCCCTTTGTATGAGAAGGACAATGCAGGTCTCCCCCACCCTACCCCGCTTCTGCCCTGAGTCTATACACTGGGGGCCCACTTTACTAACAGGAGGTACTATTGTATTTTTACAGTGAAGTCTCTGGATAATGACAATCAAAACAATTCCCTTACACTGTTTTTGCCAGGTGACCAGGGGATAAAGATTTTAAGGCATATGGGATCCAGAATGCCAAGAAAGCTTAGAAGCAAATGAGGAGGAAGCATGAGCAGCATTTTTTTAAATTTATATTTTGGTTACCCGAGCAGCTCGTTTATGCAAAATGGAACTTTTATAAAACAGCAACATATAAAGAGCAACATTTAGAGTATTAAATATGTTTGTAATTCATTGTTTCTATTTATGAAATTTCAATATGTTTTGTGAAAATTTCCCCCATAGGCTGAAAGATGTGTCCAGGTGCTTCTCACCTGGAATGAAAAAGGATCAAATTGCAGGACAAATACATGAAGGAAGAGGGAAAGGGGGGAAAGAAAGGGAAGCCTGAGCATCTCAAATATGCATAAAATTGAGATCTTCAAATAGAGGAAAGAAGATGGAAGAAAAAAGACAATATATGAACAGGTGTATAGACATAGTGGAAGCAAGGATGACTTGCAAGATTAAGATAATTGAAAGTTATTGAAACTATTGTGAATATAAATTAGATTAAAATACATTTCTCTGCTTATTTGTCTCACCACCTGGCATAAATGTCACAAGTTAATTACATGGGAAGCTGAAGGGCAATGTCTAAAACAGTATTACTCAAAGAGCTCAATATTGACTTCCAAGAATAAACGGGACTATCGTTGTCTCTACACTGATTTTTCTCCATAGCGCTATTAGTTAAAGTAGTATTTAATAATTATTTTCATATTAATAAATGTTTTTGGGTCGATTAACAATACAAAATTTCATATAGGCATCAATAAGCAGCTAGTGAGTTTGGGAATTGCTTCTCTAAAATAAAAGACAGGAGTTCAAAGTGATAATATTAATTACAAATTTAAATGGATATATATTTATAAAGCATTTACAAAGTTTTCAGAAAAATGGCCAGTGAGGCTTTCATTAGATTTTTCCTCCTTAACTGGATGAGAACCTAAAATATTTAATATTCATATTATTAAAATATTATTTAAAGTATTTTTGTAGTAAGGGGAAAAAAGTAAGAATAGCTTAAATAGTCTGAGATGTAAGGCTGTAATTTTTTTTAAGTGGGTTTATGTCAGTGATAACAGTCACTGAACAAATCGACATTTTAAGAGGGGAATGGACTTTTAAAAAATCAGTCTCAAAAATGAAACAGGGAAGGACTGGATGGTGTGGTAAACAGGGATAAAAATCAAGACATCAGATCCATAACCAATTTATTTTTGCCTAAATATGTTGAAAAAACATCACTTAATATGATGACATGTTCAAGGGATTAAATATGATTTCAAACAGCTTTAGGATTTAAAAGCAAATGCTCTTCAGAAATGAGCTTGTGTGCAACCAGCTGAATATTCTACAGCCATTAGAAGGAGGCTTACTTCCTTAATAATTGGGGGAAAATGCCATTCTTGCACACTTACATTGTTGCTGTATGTTTCAGCTTTCTTCGGTTCAAATGAAAGCCCAGTTCACAACGGCTTTCCTGGCACAAGAAAAGAAGCTCCATTCTCAAAATGAAGCTTATCCCAGGTAGCAATTCTGAACTAACTTCTTGGGAGTTTTCCAGTAGAATTT